GGTTTAAAAAATATACATATCTGCTTTCCATCAAACACTTTACCTTGTTGTTGAGTATCTCAATCTTGTCCTGGTCAAGCCGGTGCTGACGGTTATAGGCCTCCATGGTGGTGGCGGAGCGCTCCATCTCACGGTTGAGCACGCAGACAATGTTCTCAAAGGTGCTTACCTTCAGCTCCAGCTCCTGACAGCGGCGGCTGAGCTCCGCCACTTTGGTCTTCTCACTGTGTAGCTGCAGCTCCAAGGCTGCCCCAACGGCTGTAGGGAGTGGGGTGAAAGACGTACCGAGCGTCGGAGCAGGCGGTGGCGGCAGTAGCGCACAGGCCCCCTGCACGGGAGCCCCTGCTCCACTCAGCTGGCCCATCTTCTGCTCCAGCTCCCGCAGAGACTGATGCAGCTCGTGGACCTTATGGCTGGCCAGTTCCAGACTCTGAGGCTGCAGACTCTCCAAGTTCACCTTGATGCCCATGATGAAGTGCAATAGGAGGTTTAAGTGCTTGTAGGAACAGGCTTGCTCATGGTCATGGATCTTCTCCTTTTCCACCTACAGAAAATCAGAGAGCCTGATTCTAAAAAGACGTTTGTAGAACCAAAATGGATATGAAGTGTAATGGATGGAGAAAAAGTGAGATTACCTACCGTCATATCACAGCCTACAACGTGAAATCTGCAAGGTGTTCGGAATTTGGTGCACAGTTTAATGTGGTCCACATACTGCAGAAGGAAAAGATAGATACCCAAAGGAAAGTAACTATGAACATGTTCTCTCAGCATAAAAAAAACAATAAAAATTAAACAGCCTAAATACTATTTACTTACTTTCTCTCTGGGAATTTTTTTCTTGGCACAACCTTCACAAATCATGGGATATTTAGGGCATATCTCATCATGGGCCTAAAAAATAACCTATTCTTAATAGTATCACAAAAATTCAAAACTAAAAAATGAAATGAAAGCCATGAATGAATAAAGGATTATTTTCATGCTTGATTAATTATCCTCACATTATATTTAAGAAAAAACAGTTCAGTATTTTTAATGTTTATACGAAAATAAAGAGTCTTACCTTAATGTTTTTAAAATGGAATGGCTCCTTGCAGTATTTACAATTAAGAGTCCTTTCTGGGCATTCTCTCTCATTGTGACGTTCAAGTTCGTTGGCTCTTAGAAGTTCTTTGCATGATGGGCAGGGAAGGATCCTGAAGTCACACTTTCCCTCATGGTTTGCCTTTGAGAGATAAAGAGCCACACAGATAGTGAATGTCATTTAAAACTATTTGTAAAATGCAAACAACACTGAAAGACAAAACACTGAAAGAAAGAAAGAAAGAAAGAAATTTGCTGGTCTTAGTTGGTCTCCCAGTCTGGTCAAGCTAGTTTGTTGGTGGGTTTGGGGCACTTTTCAGCTTGGCAAAGCTGGTTAAAGCAGTTTTATAAAGCAGGGAAGGGACACACAGTACCTCATATTCTTTAATGGTGCCTGTCCAGCTGCATTCCTCATTGATGCAAACAGCTTCAAGAGCTTCAACTTCTCTTTTGGCAGCATTATCAGGAAAAGCCTAAAAAGAAATTGCATATACTGAAAGTAAAATATTTCAACTTTCATGCGTCTCATTACTGACCGTGAAAAATGGGTTAAGGCCTGTTCACACGGTTCACACCAATGGACGATAACATTGTTTATTATATGCGCACAGAAAAAAATATTTCAATAATATTGTTCCTCTGTGGTGTGGATTTTTCTATTCTTATATAATTACAATGTGTATTAAACCTTTACTGTTATTGTTATCAATATAGTTGTCATTGCCTTCAATGTATAAAAACTGACTGCCTAAAATCTTGAAAAGAAAATAGTTTTTTCCCCTACCGAATTATTTAATTTATGAAAATATACTCAACTCATTTAAAAACCTATAACATAATTATTATTAATGGTATAGTTCACCTAAAAATAACAATTGTGAGGACTGCCTGCCTCAGTCACTATTCACTTAATAAAACGAAAGTGAATGGCCCATAAAAGCGTTGTCATTCCACACAACAAGTCAGGTTTGAAACAACTTTCACTTTAACATTTGCCACCACCACCCTTCCGAAAAACTTCAGAGGAAGTCACAGCTTCTGCCACATATGTTACTACAGTTACTGTACAAACTGTACTTCAGATCATTTAAAAATAGAACAATTGTATTGTAGTAAAACTGGATATTTTCCCAATTATTTAAGTAACTTTGTATTAGCCACCACGGTTACAAAAAAAGTCCGAAATATACAAAACAAAAATGTATTGTGGTTTTACCATAGTAGCAGTATTTTAGTGGAAATTACAGTGATTATGGTATTTTAATCATCACTTTACTTTTATTTATTTATTTGTGGAAGGGCTATCATTACTAAAAATATTTCAAGGCGATTTTCCTACCATTTAAATCGTTCTTTATAATAAAACGAATACTTACACAGCCCTGTTTCAAAATTGATGTTGGTTCTTCAAATATGTCCTCCTTTATACAGGCACTGCATTTCTGTGGTCCGGAGCTGCGATGGAAAAGGAAAGGTTTCATACACACAGACACACACAAGAAAAACAAACACGTTTAAATACAAAGGCACACCACATATAATAAAAGAGTTGATTTTGACAATAGCTGCAAGTCTGGCTATTGTAGTTTACACCTCGCCCAGCGAAACCTGAAGCCGAACACAACCTGACAGCCTGCATTTATTTATGTTCCCCGATCTGAAGCAACGTTTACTGCTTGTACGCTCATAAAATATAGCATAAAAATGGCAAGGGGGGCCTGACAGCTCGTGTTCATCTTTTGTAGTGTCGTGTCAGGTGGGCCATCTGGACTGAATGGCGCTTACCTCACTGCTTTATTAAAACAATAAGAACAGAAACGATGTCCGCACTGCGCCTGAAACGGTCTCCTAAGGATTTTCAGACAGATATTGCACAGATGCTTGTCCTCCAGCTTGTTGGCGAGTATTTTCTTGGGGAAGCCAGGTTTGTTGCCTTCTAATGAAGATGGTGGTGAGGGTTCCTGTGCAGCCATTATTCCCGAGCGCGCATGTGACCAGGCTCCGGAGAAGAGACACGGATCTTTCTACACATTTCACTGAAAGGGGTTGTAAACACACGATTTTGCATTGTGTCACATGAAAGGATTAACTTACTGTGCATAGTTAAATACGTCTAAATACACGCACGGTTTAATGTTTACACAGGCATGACTATGACTAAATAATACCATCGTCTTAATAAATGTTTTATAGTAGCAAGGTGCATTTACTGTTGTTGGGATCTCGGATTCTTTTCATAACAATACATTTTGTTACGTTTTAAAAGCACATATGTCCTACCATTTTATGGTCCAACGAACATTATAAAACCTCCTCCTGCTGTGCTGTGAAACATTTTATCAAATACATTCAGCGTTCTTGCCGTGTGCTGTCATAAGTATAATCATAATTTATTATAATTAATAATATTGTTTATGGTGTTCCTCAAAAATGTGAGTAGATGTAGGCGTCGTGTTCTCTCTCTAGCCGATCATGGATGGTAGCGTCCACTAGAGGGCGAATGATAACGAAATAAGTGAAGCTAGAAACTTTAATGTATTATAATGACAAAATAAAAGTCTTCTGGCATTATACATTGTTCTTTCTTTTATTGAACAATCATAACAAAAATACAATTACATATAATAGGATGCATATTTAAAATACAACAATAATAATAATTATTATTAGTATTACTACTACTACTACTACTAATAATAATTATTATTGTTGTTTTGTTGTATTTTAAATATGCATCCTATTATATGTAATTGTATTTCAAATACAACAAAACAACAATAATTATTATTAGTAGTAGTAGTAGTATTACTACTATTGTTGTTGTTGTTTTTCTAAAGATAAAGCAATATCAAAAATTAGTTGGTCTTTAACATGACTGCCTAAAACCTATATTTATATATAATATTAACCTATACGATGCATTCTTTTTGATTTAATAAAATAACCCAATAAAAGTAAAAAAAAAATTCCTTCTGATTTTTTTCACTTTTTAGGAGAAAAAAAAAATAAAATCGTCCAGATAAAAACGTCAAACAAAGATGCAACATAATTTGCAGTGGAGCTACTTTCCACCATTCGTTATTTGCCAAGTATTTTTGCCGAGCATCTTCGTCTTTTATTTTGAAAATATTAAAAAATAATATCTTCGTCACCATCTGTCAGTCATGCCTTTTTTCACGGATACGGACGCTTGTTGATACTGTAGCACGAAACGAAAGCTGAACCGATCATTGCGGTAGCTGGCGCAGATCTACCTCAGGCCAGTAGTAGTTTATTACTTGTCTCTGTGTAGATGTACAGAGTCTAATGTCTCGAATCTCATGACCTAGTATTGTAGTGCGCGTTATAGCAGGCCAGCAATGGACACTCTTCGAGATGGCAGCCCAGGCATTTAGATTATACTAATCAGACTTCAAAGCAGCTATTTAAAATACCCTGGCGTCTATTCAGTTTTGTGGGCTAAACACTGTTGACTGTCTTCGTTCCATTGAATAGTTCCTTTAACGCTTACTCGTTCTGGGACCGAGAACAAGGACGAAAAGTAACGTTACTATTAGTTTACTTCTCTACCGAAACTGCAGCTTCAGGTGGTCGCTTACAAGCTTCGGCAATAATAAGGTAAGTGTGTAATGTTAGTATGTCTAATTTTAGCTGTTTTAAGGAGAGAAAAAAACAAAGTATAAATTATATACACTCACTCGGTCCTGGGGGGGGCCGGTGTCCTGCAGAGTTTAGCTCCAACCCTAATCAAACACACCTGAAGCAGCTAATCAAGCTCTTTCTAGGCATACTAGAAACTTCCAGGCAAATGTGTTGGAGCTGGTTGAAGCTAAACTCTGCAGGATTACTGGCCCTCCAGGAGCAGGATTGGACACCCCTGGTTTAATGTTTTCACGGAATGAACTCCCAATTCATCTAAAAGTTGGAGGAGAGCGAAGTACAATCTTTGTTATGGTGTATTTTTCACCCTTTTACCATCTATATCTTATTAAGGACATTTTATTTAGTTTAAGCCAGAAACACTTATATACAGTATGTTTAATTGGTTTCTCTTTTCCACACAGACTATGGCCGAAGAAAATACCCAGTTTTGCAGTAATTGGTAAGTAAAAATAAATACATAGAAATAAGTGAAAATCGTATCGTCATTTCACGTGCCCACATGCTTTTTCCCCACGTAAAGCACAAAAGAGGATGTTAGTCAGAATGAGTTTCAGTCGCCATTCACATTCATTTTTTTTCAAATGAAAGTGAATGGTGACATGTTCTGTCATTTTGCCTAATATTATATTCTGTTGCATGTAAGATAGAAAGTCAAACAGGTTTGGAAAATCTTGAGGGCAAGTACATAGTTTTTATTTTTGGGTGAACTATTTCTTTGGATAAGGAATGCTGTTTTGTAGTTTCGTTTTATTATACAACCTTTGGCTTTCACTTAGGTGTGTTATGAGTTACCAGTCCCTCCCATCAGTCCACCTGGCTGTACTGCAGTCAGTGTTTGGATGACACACTTTTATCCAAAGCAACTTGTGTTATAATTTTTACAGTGACAGCTTCCCAGCAGTAACCATCAGTTTAGTCTTAGTCAAGGACACAAGGGCAATTGTGGTGTTTCTAGAACCAATATGGTGTCAACCAACTGACCATGATATGCTCTCTGTCTCTAGCAAGCATGACATTCCAGAAGCCAACTTTACAACACATGAGATCCACTGTCGGCGGAATATTGCTCTTTGTGAGGTGTGCCAGGAGCCTTTTCCTCATGCTGAGCTTGTGCAGCACAAAGAGATGGACCATGCAGAGGTACGATCCGGCCATGGTGTATGATTAAACTATTGTATATTTGATAATATCCCTAAAGACCTTAGTCAGAGTGCTGTGGACATGAATAAAAAAACTGAAGAAAATCTTCTGGAAAAAAAAATGCAAGTCTGCATATAACTGTAGGTTGTGAGAATCCGATTAAAATTTTATTTATTTTATTTTTTTCAGTTTACTGTCCCATAATGTTTATCTAAACCAGCATGACTTTATTCTGCTTAACACAGACACAAAATATTTAAGATTTATTTTTCTTTGTAATGTCTGTACAATGAAGGTCAATGGAGTCAAAACAGTGATGATAAAAAAGGTAACTTTATTTTAAGGTGTCCTTGTTACACGTTACGTGTACTTACTATTATAATAACTCTTAATTATGCATAATTACATGCAAGTAACCCTAAGCCAAACCCTAATCCTAACCTTAACATATAGTAAGTGCATGTAGTTAATTAATATTACTCAGTATAATTACACTGTAACAAGGACACCTTAAAATAAAGTAACAAAAAAAAAAAGGTAATTTAGAGATCTTAACAGATATTTTGTTTAGGGTGAACTATCCCTTTAAAGTCATTATCAAATAAAAATTGACTTCTATTTTGTAATAAATATTGCAGTGTTTATTTTATGATTTATCCATGCACATCATTTTTTTTTTTTACATACACGGGAACATTAGAAATTAGTTTTTGTAATTCTCTTCTCGCAACCTCACTCATATGAGATCGCAGCAATTAGCTAAAAACCGTGATCCAATTAATTCCAGACAAAAACAAGTCCAGCCCTACTTTTTTCTTGTGAGAGAAGACATTTCACTCAGATATACATAACAATAGAAAAGAAAAGGCGATCACAAATTTCGCTTCATGCTGCCTCTAAGACTGTAGAATATATTGAATAGCAGCATTGTTTTAAATAGCATTAACTTACATGTAGCGTTCATGTTATGTATATTGCAGAATGAAACAGAAAATGAGTTGTTGTTCTCCCCAGGCTGCTAAATTTAAGTTTTATAAAATCTAAAACTCTTTTTACAGGAACAGTGCAAATGTGGATTAAAGATAGAGAAAAGATTCATGGAGGTCCACCAGGTACAATATAAACAGTTATGCATATTGCTGTTTTCATTGATGAGTTCTGTAGATTTGACACTTCTTACCCCTCTCAGAGGTCAGAGTGCAGTCATCGACTGGTCCCGTGTCAGTTCTGTGATCTGGAGGTGGCCTCCTTTCAGGCTAAAGAGCACGAGGATTACTGTGGGACCCGCACAGAGCCCTGCCCCATCTGCAAGTGTAACGTTATGCTGAGAGAACAACACATCCATCCAGCCCTGTGCGGAAGTCTGACTCCACCTCAGGAGAGGCACAGTAGTAGGGCAGGGGCTCAGTCTCCTGGAGCATGGTTTGAGGCGCATTCAATCCATAACCTAATACACAATAATAACAGCACGGGGGCAGCAGAACGCAGGGGTCCACCACGACCCTTGGAGGACAGACTACACAACAGCACCAGAGGAACAGTGAGGGGAGGAACCAGGAGAAACGCAGAAACGAGGAACAGTGATTTTTCTTATTGTAGGTATCCCGTCTGGCTGTTTTAGTCCTTATTCACAAAAAATATTCACCATAAACTAGGGATGCATGATATAGCCTTGACAGACATTTTTAAAATTGAACAAGTCTGTTGATATTGGATATCTAATTGTGAATTTCCCCTATTTTTACATTTATGCCAACTTTACACTGCAAATGAGGCACAAAAATGCATCTGAATTGGCAATTAGGCATCTTTACTCAGAGGTGGCAAATACATTTACAGAGCAATTAAAACTACATTACTAGGGTTATACTAGGGGCTGAGGTGGGTCAGAGCAGTAATCATTTAATCTGGCTTTTATGCTGCATTGCGTCTTCACACAGAATATTGAGCAGATACATAGAAGATGCGTAAAGATACCTTTAGATTACTTTTGTTGTCATCTAACACTTGAAGTTAATCTTTAAAAACTACTAATAATTTAATAACACTGTTAAATGTGACATTTAGCAAATCTCAAATTGAATATCAATTTTTAGAACTCTATAATGGTTTTATGCCTAAATTTACTTGTAGCATGTAAAATGATTGGTTTTCATTTTTAGTATTTCATTTTTAAATAATTTCGACAAAATCCATTTGTCCACTTACTTTGGATAAAACCATCTGCGAACTGCATAAATGTGAAATGTAATGTAAAAAAATTGTGTAAATTTAAATATTGGCCATAATATTGAATGAGTTGTCATATCAGTTCATCCCTACAATAAACATAATGGATTTTGAATGGGTTTTAAACATGTTGTTGAATATGAGGGGAGCTTTCATCAGGTATTAACAGGACGTTCAAGCAAAAAAAGAAATAACCTTCCACTCTGCTCATTTCCTCAGTGCTGGATCAGGAAACGGAGCTGGGGAACAACAACAACAACAACCTGCTGTGGTCTCTGGGACAACTGCCAGACTATGAGTCCTCCAGTCTGGACTACATGCTGGCCCTCAGCCTGCAGAGTGAAGGTGACTTGGAGGACCCCCGTCAGGAGGGCGTGTGGACTGATGTGTGGGACCGTCGCCTGGGAAGGACACCAGCCCATAGCAATCTCACTTCCCAGCTCTCCTCCAACACTAAAAACAACTGCACTGCAGCCTCCCCTAAAATCAATCCGACCGTGGGCCACAGCCCCTCCTCAAACATCATGCTACCTTGTGAGTTCTGTGAAGAGCTCTTTCCAGAGGAAGACCTTATCTTACACCAGGTAAGTGATGAGGCCCCAATCATCCCATCACGTTACACTCCCTCTTGGCCTGATATTTAAGTCAGGCCTCTTGTGTCTTGATAGAGCCGGCAAGTGTGAAGTTGCATCAGCCACATTGGTACTTGAGTCCCCTCTTTTGAGTGCCATTACATGTCTACGTTAACGGAGTACAACATAAGCCATGTTCTTCATGGCAGGCTATTGTAATGTCAGCACTGATGTTGAATCTCACACTCCATTCCTTCTTGTCAGGTCTCTATTGTTTCACAATGTGGTGTTTAGTTTCCATGGGAACCTCCTCGAATTTCAGCCCTCTAGCTTCTCCCATAGGCCGAACCCTGTGTCAGATTCTTCTCCTCTTTCTGAGGCCATAGACTCATAGAGGAGGGGTGTGTTATCGGAGTCACTTGTTTTGGATTTTTGCCTTTAGTGGCCAGCATAAAAGTAAATATTCGTTTTTTTGTCTTCTAGACCGGCTGCAGCCCAGCCTCGGCTATTGCTTCCTTCAGTAAACAAGCTCCTTCTCTTCAAAATGAAGAAATCATCACTCAAGGGGCTAGTCATGTCATTCCTCCTCACACACCCAGTCCGTCCACCCTGCCCCTCTCCGTTTCGCCGCTCTCCTACAGTTCCTCCTCCAGCCCCGCTGAGGGCGACGTACTCATTCCTTGTGAGTTTTGTGGTGTTGCCTTGGAAGAGGATGTGCTCTTTCACCATCAGGTATAACAACCTGTGTGTTTTTCTCAAGTACATAACAGGTCTTACTAATAAAGTTTTACATATAGACACATAGAATCAAAGATGCTGAATAGCAACAAGAAATAATACATCTAAAATATACAAAAATGGCATAATTGTAGAACATTTTTGTTACACATATAGGTAAAAAAATCTGAAAAAGGGCACTAAATTATTTTGGAATGATAGGAAATTGTCCACACATTCAATTCTGAGATGTTTTATATTAATTTAAGTCAGTAACGTTCTAAATGTGAATGTCACCCCCAATTTTTTGTGTGAAAATTATTATAAATAAAATAAAATACTACATAAATTCCGTCCACCCTGCCCCTCTCCGTTTCGCCGCTCTCCTACAGTTCCTCCTCCAGCCCCGCTGAGGGCGACGTACTCATTCCTTGTGAGTTTTGTGGTGTTGCCTTGGAAGAGGATGTGCTCTTTCACCATCAGGTATAACAACCTGTGTGTTTTTCTCAAGTACATAACAGGTCTTACTAATAAAGTTTTACATATAGACACATAGAATCAAAGATGCTGAATAGCAACAAGAAATAATACATATAAAATATACAAAAATGGCATAATTGTAGAACATTTTTGTTACACATATAGGTAAAAAAATCTGAAAAAGGGCACTAAATTATTTTGGAATGATAGGAAATTGTCCACACATTCAATTCTGAGATGTTTTATATTAATTTAAGTCAGTAACGTTCTAAATGTGAATGTCACCCCCAATTTTTTGTGTGAAATTTATTATAAATAAAATAAAATACTACATCAACACAAAATAGGCACTCATTACAATTCATATGAAATTTTTGCTTTAAAACATTGTGAGAAAACATTTACATAGTTTTGTAAAGAGAGGCTTCATAAATATTATGATAGATATCTACAAAAGAATACCATTTAATATTATTATAATATGTCTGCGTGAACCGGGTGCGCAGAGGTATGCAAATACATACGTTGACAGGCAGGTAGTAATGCCTATCGTAGTCCTCGGACCGAGGGATATGATTGGGCAAACATTGTAGTGTCCGATGCCTTCCACAGACGATATAAATACATTTAGACCATTTAACTTAGTGACAGCATAAAAATTGTTTTTGAACCAAATCACCTACCCTGCCTTTAAGTAATTTCTAAAAAGTATTTAAGTATTTTATAAAAATGTGTCAAATTTCCCTTGGGTTTACATCTAATATGTTTTGTATCATTCATGATTTGTTTCTGCAAGTATGTTTAAGCACTTTTGTGAAAGTAGAGCAGAAATGGAGCCCACCATTTAGTTGATACTCTTCAATCTTGTTATACTGTACAGGACAAGTGTGACCTCCGGCCCCAGACAGCTTATTCAATCGACGGATTGTCTCCACTGAAACCACACCACACCACCAAAGAGGCCCACGAGAGGCAAAGAAGGGTGAGACATCAAGGTGAGCCACCAGAATAGATGAACACAACCTCATCTTGTAATCTACTTATTGATTTTACTACTTATTTACCAAATATATACAGTATGTGTTTTAAATCAGTATGTAATCAGTCGTACCTCTGTATCTTACTGCAGCTGACCCTGATGAGGAGCTCCTGCAGCAGACGGCTCACGGGTGGCAGAAAGGCACCTCAGGTTTGGACCAGTGGCTGCCCTCAGCCTACAGTAACACAAAGAACACGAATGCTGAGCAGCAGGTGAAGAGCAGGAACCAAAGTGGCAGAGCAGTAGAAGCCAACACGTACCTCAATGACAGCCTCAAGCCCCGTTCTACAACCACTTCGGGGTATGCTTAAATATATTTCTGAAATAATTTATATGTACACATGATACAATGTTAAGAGAAAAGTTACATTGAAACTAAAATGTTTTTTGTTTTTTTCCCCCCATGACAGACCTCCACACAGAGGAAGACTGGAAGGTAGAAGGAGTGATAAAAACACAGAGACACCGAAGGTATGCATGTGAATTGTTACAGGAACATAAAACAAAAATTTGGAAGAGACCTGCATGCAGGATATATTAGATGATGTTATCAGATATTTGATTCTACTAATACTTTTTGACCTGTTCTACATTACATTTTTATCTCCAGGTGCCTAAAAAACATAATGTTGAAAAAGAGGAGGAGTAGAAAAGGGGAAAGAGTCTCGCCAATCTTCTGAGTCTCTGTAACTTAAAGCAGTGACCTGTTATTACTGTCTATAGACTATTATGTTTGTGTCTGTAAAAAAATGTACGTCCAGGTGAATTTATCAATTCTATGGCCTGTATTTCTTTAAATGGACTACACAGAGACACCGAAGGTATGCATGTGAATTGTTACAGGAACATAAAACAAAAATTTGGAAGAGACCTGCATGCAGGATATATTAGATGATGTTATCAGATATTTGATTCTACTAATACTTTTTGACCTGTTCTACATTACATTTTTATCTCCAGGTGCCTAAAAAACATAATGTTGAAAAAGAGGAGGAGTAGAAAAGGGGAAAGAGTCTCGCCAATCTTCTGAGTCTCTGTAACTTAAAGCAGTGACCTGTTATTACTGTCTATAGACTATTATGTTTGTGTCTGTAAAAAAATGTACGTCCAGGTGAATTTATAAATTCTTTGGCTTGTATTTCTTTAAATGGACTAGGGTTTTTTTTTTTTCTTCATTGTATTTTTTTCTATGGTGTTTGTATGTGATTTTAAATGTTGTTTTGAGCTTTGCTATTTTATCTTTGTTTCAAAGACGTTGGGAAAAATTTTTTTTTACACACATTATAGCATAAATATAGAAACTCCCATAACACTTTACTGTTTTGTTTTATCCATTAGTTAATGCACTAGTTAACAAACAGTAAATAATGCTGCATTTATTAATCCTGGTTAATATAATTTTTTACATTAACATTAACAATGTTAATATTATTAGTTCATAATGCATTGTGAACTAATAATGCACTAATGACCAATATTATATTCATGAATTTTTATTAACAATGATTAATAAATGCTGTAAAATACTGAACGTATTCACTAATGTTACAGAACTGTATTGTGAAGTGCTGCAGAAATTACTAATTCTTATTTGATCCTGAGTGTAACAATTTTACAATGTACAGTTAAAAAAAAAATCAAACTGTTGATATTTGAGACCTTTTATTGTAAGGCTGTCTGTGTGGTGGCAAAATTGCTTATGTTATTATTCTGACTGTTTATCTTCCTGTGGTCATGTAACTATCACATCTTTTCAATAAAAAGATTTTGCTGCGGCTGAAGGTAGGATGGCCATCACATTGGGTTGTTGTTGTTTTTTTTTCTTCTATCTATTCTCTGTTGCTGTTTCATAAAAGACACTAAGAAAAGCTGGGATTAAAGTCCAAACCCTGACTTGAAATAACCTAACAAATCAATCGGGACTAAAGCAGGATAATGAGTCAGGATAATTTGATGTGCAGCTTATTCTTAAGCAGCCCTTAAAGGGGTCATATGATGCGATTTCAAATTTTCCTTTCTCTTTGGAGTGTTACAAGCTCTTGGTCCATAAAGAAGTAAAGTTGCAAAGACTACAGGTGCATCTCAATAAATTAGAATGTGGTGGAAAAGTTCATTTATTTCAGTAATTCAACTCAAATTGTGAAACTCATGTATTAAATTCAATGCACACAGACTGAAGTAGTTTAAGTCTTTGGTTCTTTTAATTGTGATGATTTTGGCTCACATTTAACAAAAACTCACCAATTCACTATCTCAACAAATTAGAATACTTCATAAGACCAATAAAAAACACATTTTTAGTGAATTGTTGGTCTTCTGGAAAGTATGTTCATTTACTGTACATGTACTCAATACTTGGTTGGGCCTCCTTTTGCATGAATTACTGCATCAGTGCGGCATGGCATGGAGACAATCAGCCTGTGGCACTGCTGAGGTGTAATGGAAGCCCAGGTTGCTTTGATAGCGGCCTTCAGGTCATCTGCATTGTTGGGTCTGGTGTCTCTCATCTTCCTCTTGACAATACCCCATAGATTCTCTATGGGGTTCAGGCCAGGCGAGTTTGCAGGCCAATCAAGCACAGTAACACCATGGTTATTGAACCAGCTTTTGGTGCTTTTGGCAGTGTGGGCAGGTGCCAAGTCCTGCTGGAAAATGAAATCAGCATCTCCATAAAGCTTGTCAGCAGAAGGAAGCATGAAGTGCTCTAAAATTTCCT